TATATATATATATATATATACATACAAGGCACCCTATGTCAATGTACATAGGTCGACCATCTTGATTTATTCCTTACCTTAGGGGCAGGGCACGTATCCAAAACCCTCGCGGCAAATTTTTCGTGCAAAACACGAATGACCAAGTAGATTTTCTCATCAGCTTACATATGTAAGCACCGGCAACTAACTACTTTTTTCCTTCTAAATTTTTGTTTTTCTTTTTCTTCTTTTTCTTCTTCTTTTTCCTTTTCTTTTTCCCCCATTCTATATTCCTTTACATTCCTGAATCTTAAACTTCGAATCCAAGTTGAAAGAAAAAGGAAAAGAATAAAAGAGAGAGAGAGAGAGAGAGAGAGAGAGAGAGAGAGAGAGAGATAAAAAGAAAAGAAAAACAGGAAGTGAAACTGAAATTGATTGAATCTCTAATCGAAATGATAACATTGATATTTATATTATATAATATTTGATATTTAATCACGAAGAGAAATATTTCGTTCGCTTTTAATATACGTTTGTCTCGATAATTACGAAAATTATTTAAATAAATTAATTAAAAAAGAAAAACAAAAAATAATAATAATAATCTATTTAATCGTAAAAAAAGAATTATTAATAATAATAATCTACTTAATCGTTAAATTTCATGATAAATGGACGAAACTTTATTTCCATATTACTTTTGTTTTTATATTATTCGTTATGCAATAATAAAATTGCATAATAATAATAATAATAATAATAATAATAATAATAATAATAATAATAATAATAATAATAATAACAATAACAACAACAATAACGAAAGATTTAAAATTACATTCGTCTGATCAATTTATATTCGACGATTATTAAAATAAAATATAAATACGATTATTAATTTACTGCGGTAAAATATTTCATCAATTATGGCATTAAACTTTCCCCCTTTGATGTCAGCTTTTAAATGATTAATTTATATACGATCAAAGATTAATGATAACAACTAAGAAGATAACGATTAAAAAGAAAAGAAATAATCTTTACTTACAATTATAATATTTTCACAATGATCGTATGAAAAGTAAATAATTGTTTGTTTGTTTATTATTAATGAATAAACAAAGATCTTAAGAATTTATCTCGAGCATATCTTTTTGTTCAATGGTACGTACAAGTCCGTACAAAATATTATTGTAATACTATTGAAAAAAAAGAAAGAAAGAAAGAAACGGAGAAAATAATAATAATTTAATACTGGAACGAATAAAAAAAAAAAGAAAAAGAGAAAAAATATAAAAAAGAAAAGAGATATAAGCATAAGAAAAGAAAACAGTTCGCTTTATCCATATATCATTTAAATTTTCTTTCTATATACAATACCGATGATAATAAATTTCAAACAACTTGAAAACTTCAAAAATGAATAAATCTTTGATGGAGAATTTTCTAAAGTAAGATTGAAAAGTCTGAGTCGCGTAAAGAATACCAAAAGGATCTATACAATGGTATCTTTAAATAAATCCACTCAGAAAGACGTACCTAATCGAGATCAAGGAGGAGTAGCTTACTTAGATAAGAAGAATAAACGATGGTGTATATATATATATATATATATATATATATATATATATATATATAATATGTAACAGTGTAATGACAGCGTTAAAATAATAAATGACATTTTCCCGTCTGTTTCTGTTCATGGAACTCGCTCTAGCTTCAGAATAAGGGAAAAAGAGACAATGGACATACTCCATACGAATGTCTTCTCTCCAAGTACTAACATCCCAGAGTAGCTCTTACAAATGGAAAGACTAAGAGAGAAATCGGATCTCTCTCTTTCTCTCTCTCTCTCTCTCTCTCTCTTTTTCTCTATCTCTCTCTCTCTTTATCTTTCTTTATCTCTCTCGTACTTTCGTACTCTCATTTCAAGGCGTTTACATTACTACGAGGAAAATGGAGCAAGGTCCTACTTTTCTCTCTCTCTTTCTCTCTCTTATAGATTCTCATCGACACGTTTCAAGGAAACTTGATTGCCATTAAGGAAGAAGAACGAATAATCCTAATGATTCAATTTCAAATTGTATTATATACATATATATATATATGTGTATGTTTGTATGTGTGTGCGTGTGTGTGTGTATTTAGAACGTTTCTTTAAGTTAGTAACATCTGTTTCTTTCTTTTTCTCTTTCTGGAAGTTCCAAGAATAAAACCTAATAAACCGAACGATTTAATTTCTATTTACATTAAATGTGTGTGTGTGTGTGTGTATAATACAAATTAGCTGATTTTTTATATTTAATAATTTTTACATTTAATATTAATATAATATTATATATAATATAGAAACATTTATAAATAAAATAATTATAAACTTTTATATATATATATATATATATATATATATATATACAGAGAGAGAGAGAGAGAGAAGTATAGATAGATAGATAGAGATAGAGTAAGAGGAAGGGAGCATCATATGGTGTAGGATGATTCAATCGAGTAGCCTATCAATCGATCCCCAACGCTCAATTTCCCGTGTACTAGTAAGGGAAGTAGGAAAGCGTTGAAGCGTTTACGAGCTAAACAGAGAAGACCAGACTAAACTAGACCAGACCAGACCAGACCAGAACAGACCAGACCAGACCAGACTAGACCAGACCAGACCAGACCAGACCAGACCAGACCAGACCAGACTAGAGTAGAGTAGAGTAGAGTAGAGCAGGATAGGGTACAGTAAAGCAGAGAAGAGCAGAGAAGAGCCGAAGTGAGCCGAGCCGAGCCGAGCCGAGCTGATTCTCCTGACGATAATGATATAGTTTAAAGAGAGAGAGAGAGAGAGAGAGAGAGAGAGAGAGAGAGAGAGAGAGAGAGAAAGCTAGCTAATTGGACCGCGGATGTATCTAATCGAACCTAATACGAGCAGTCGCGCACTCGTGTCTCGGGCTTTGCTAACGGGCCATGAATTATCGATAAGCTCAAACGTCGTGCCACCTTGCATTCGCTATCAATGAACTTACACTACCGTCACTATCGACTATATCCTGTCATCTATTCTCTCACTCTCACTCTGTCTTATTCTCTCTCTCTCTCTCTCCCTCCCTCTTTCTCTCTATTCCCTCAACCTACTCATCTCTAGCGGCCACCGAAGACAATGCGCACGACATTACCACCGCAGGAATGTTTCAACAAGGAGATATAGTCACGATAGTGAGATACCGACCTCGGTAATCCATTTCTACCTTCTCTTCCTCTCCCTCTCTCTCTCTCTCTCTCTCTCTCTCTCAATATCCACAATGAGCAGATCGTAATTCGAATGCTTCTCGACTACTAGCCAAGATTAGCCGCAAATCGACTCTAGATCAATACGATGCCGTGACGATTTCGGTAATATGGAATAAATAAAAATGATAATATAATTTGACGTTTAATCCATTATTTCTTATAATTTTATTAAACGTTCCAGGAGGAAAAGTATTTTGTTTTTAGGGCGAAGGTGGGAGTGGGATTGCTCTTACTCGCTTTCTTGCGAGTGATGAGGGTCAAAACTTTTTAATATTTGTTTATTTCTTTCTTTCTTTCTTTCTTTCTTTCCTTCTTATTTTCTATTATGTGATTTTATTTATCAAATATTTTTTGTTTTGTTTTTTTTTATCGAACTATACGAACAATTTTCTATCTAATAGAAAATTATTAACGACAATGATGGAAAGTATAAGAATTTGTTTTTCTAACTAATGATAAGGTTCACGGTTAATTAATATTTTGATATTTTGAATTTCGCATTGCTCTAAAGACGAAATCTTCGTATTACGTTATTTAGATTGATACAAGAATCAAGATATGAAATATATATTTTTCAAATATCATAACAATTTTAAAACGTATTAGATGGGAAAAAATTTCATCCTAATATAATAGATACGTTTAAAATTTTCATTATAATCATAATATAATAATCGTAATAACGAGAATTTTTTTTAATTTAAATAAAATGTGATTTATTATATGGAAAAAAATACGTACATATATTCTCAAAATTTATTGAATTTCCTTTGATTTTATATCGCGTTAATTATATTGTAAAAAAATTAAAATTAAAGTATTTCAATCGTTTAAAAAATTTAAAAATTTTGTAAATTAGAACGTATATAAAGAAAAATATTAACATGATATATTCGAATTTGATTAAATATATGCTTGTATAATATTATCCCTTGATATAAATGTAAATTTAGATTTAAATTTTCATATTTCATATTTAAAAAATTAAAAAATAAAAACTAAAAATAAAATCATAAATATTACTTTCTAACTTCTCTTATTTTCATACCATAGATCTATACCATTATATGAGCTAATGTTATAACGAAAAAAAAAAAATTTTTTTTTTTTTTCGTTATAACATTAACATTTCACTTTACACACATTTTAATGCATTAATTAATATGACGAATTTCATTGAAAAGAAAATAAAAGGAAAAAAAGTAAACAAATAAATAAATATATATACAAATCATTAAAAAAATGTCAAACAATTTCTATGATTTGATTAATATGATACAATGAGACACCCTGTATGCCATATGTACTCTTCCTAAAAATAAAAACAAAAAAAGAAGAAAGAAAAAAAGAATTTATCAATAGATCAACAAAATTGCAAACAAACAAACAAACAAACAAACAAAACAAAAATTAGTAAATGACATCAAAGGACGAATCAATAATGCTGATGATCCTTTGCATGATGTTGATATTCAAAAAAAAAGAAAAAAAAGAGAAAGAAAAAAAAAGGAAAAAAAAAATAAAAAGAAAAAAGTGAAATAATGAAACAATTGAAAAAAAATTGATAAACGACGTTAGATCGACGACATAAAGGGAAGAATACATAGAACGACTTTTATCTGAAAGTGCGCAAAAGATGCTCGAGATCCAACGTCGGACAATGCCGTCACGTTTTGAAGTACGTAAGTCTTCCATTACCAAAGCAAACGTTTTCGTTTTCTCTCTGTTCGCAGAAGAGGTCAAACAGCGAAAAGTCGATAAGGTTGGCGAACGTGAGGTTGGAGACATCCGGTCAATACAAATGCGAGGTATCAACAGAGGGTCCATCATTCGCCTCTTTTCATAAAACCGCTAATTTGACTGTAATTGGTAAGTACTATTTATTATAAAAAAAACAATTGATAAAGCATTTATTACACGAAAAGAATAATAATAATAATAGGACAATAACAAACAGAAAAGAATAGAGATAATAAAAAAAAAAAAAAAATAAGAGAGAGAGAGAGAGAGAGGAAGAGAGAAAGAGGGAACATAAAAAGACATAAACGATTAAGTTATAACTCAATCGATGTGACAAGGTACCCATGTGTACTTTATAAATTTTGTCGCTCTTCTTCTTTCTGTTGTCCATTTTATATATATATATATATATATATATATATATATATATATATATATATATAAAAATCCATGTGTATATATGTACATGTATATTTTTTTCAAATATAAAAATCTCAGTTTCACGTTGGACATAGAAACGATAGAGGAAGGGAGGGAGGGAGGGAGGGTGGGTTCGATGAATGAGCTCTCAAAAATAATGTTCGTACGTTACGAACTCGAAACAGTGTTACACGTATGTATCTACCGTACGTAACGTTCGATTCTTCCCGCAAAAAAGTAAATCACATTCGTCTGTGACAAGAACGATGGATGAAAAAATAAAAAACAAACAAACGTACAAACCGTACGAACGAACGTACGAACGAACGTACGAACGAACGAACGAACGAACGAACGAACGAACGATTGAATGTATCAAATAAAAAGGAAAAAAAAAAAAGAAAAAACAAAAAAAGAAGAAAAGAAAAGTATCGAGAATAGAACGAACGAGTTTAGAGTTTGTCGAGAGGGATGGTGAGAAAGGGATGTGAGGTTGAGCGGAGGGTGAGAGAGGGATGTGAGGTTGAGCGGAGGATGAGAGAGGGATGTGAAGTTGAGCGGAGGGTGAGAGAGGGATGTGAGGTTGAGCAGAGGGTGTTAAAGGGTGGTGGAGGGTGGCAGAGGGTGGCGGAGGCGGGGAGAGTGATAGGAAAGAAAGGCACACCTTTTGCTATGAACCAGAGTACTATCGAGATTGTCAAACGATCCGCCATCTACGAAATTTGTTTCTGTCTGTTATCGGACGACACGGGAGGAAATTCTTCTCAAAAAGAAATAGTAAAAAGAAACCGATCCGTGGAACGGACGAGATCGGAGGGAGAAGAAGGGAAGAAGGGAAAGTGGGGTGGGAGAAAAAAAAAAGAAGAAAAAAAGAAAAAAGGAATATCTTCGGTGTCGTTTATCACCATTCATCATAAACTGAGGCATTCACGAGTTGGTTTTATCCCATCGAATCCTTTTCCGCGAGATCGCACGTTCCTTTTTTCCCCTGCAAAAGCAACAACTTGATTTCTCTAGCAATCTTCTCGCTTCTCTGTTATCCTTCTTACACCATAGAATGTATATACGTATATATGTATGTATGTATGTATGTATGTATGTATGTATGTATGTATGTATGTATGTATGTATGTATGTATTGATGTATGTATTGATGTATGTATGTATACATCAAGCGCAGTTTTGTTTTCTTCGATGGAAGGAAAAAAAAAATTATACAAAAAGAAAAGAAAAAAAAAAAAAGAAAGAAAGAAGAAGAGAGAAGAATATAATATAATGTCTCTCGAAAGGAGAGAAAAATATTTACGTTCTATAAGGATAAACTTTACAAAAGAAAGAAAGTCGAGACATTTGTAAGATCGTTCGCTATTGATAAGTGATATTGTGATTGGAATTGTCTTCTTTTTTCTTTTTCTTTTTTTTTTTTTGTTTTTTCTTCTTTAGATTGATCCGATCAAGACGTAATCTTGAAATTTTTAAACGAATGTATTATAGTTTTTTTTTCTTTTTTTCTTTTTTTTTTTTTTTATTGATAATTTCAAAGTAAATAATATATTTAGACAGAATGTAAGTTTAATTATGTAATAATTGTAAATAACATAGTATATATTGTTAATGCACTTATATATTAAATTTACTTTATTTTTACTTTATTTATACTTTCATTTTCTAATATATTTATATATTATAACAAAACGTTTGATATATTATTTATTTTTTGTTTCGTTTATAAAAAAAGAGAAAGAAAATGATATAATAATAAAATTATTACTAAAATATTTTAGAAATGATGTTATCGACATTATATATATAATTCTTTTTCTAAATATAAATATATTATTTATATTAAATTATCAATAAAAACAAATAATTATTATTAGCAAATCCAAAATTACTATATATATATATATATATATATATATATATATATATATATATAGCATATGATTAATATATTATTTTATACACACATTCTATTTATTTAGATATTAAATACTGAACTATAATAAATTATTTATATTAAAAATATACCAAAGATAATAACATTCTTTGTCGAAATTTATAAAATTTAATTACTAAATAATATTCAAAAATTTCGTTATTACATTTTGGACAATTCGATGTTACGTATAATACTTTTTCTTTAGAATTACATCGTCATTATAATCCTGATAAAATTTTAATAATAAAAGTATAACATTAAGGATGATAAAATTAGCTTTTTACATTTCTGAAAATTTAATCGCGTTTATTTCGTTATGGTTTACATAAATAAATTCGAAATGCCACGTACGAATTGATAGAATACTCTTGTTACGAGAAACAAACGAAAATGAAACGAAAAGAAAGTGCATACGTGGTTATTGGAAATAAAACAAAAAAAAAAAAAAAATGAAGTAAAAAGAAATAACAGAAAAAAAAAGCAAAAAATAAATAAACAAACAAGAGTAGAAATCATAACGTTGTCCCCGTTAGAAATACAACCTATTTGCGAATGGCGAAAGCTACGTTCATCCTTATCTTGATCGGTTGGGAAATTCGATTGGGAACAGAAAATACAAACAAATACTCATACTTGGAAAATTGAAAAGCGAAGCAAGCGAAAATTATTTGATAATAAATATTCTCTCGTTTTTGAAAATGCGTATATATATATATATATATATATATATATATATATATATATAATCGAGACACGTAGATAATCTATTATATCATTTCATTCGATAACGAGAATGCATACGAAATAATTTCGAACTGAATGAGAAACGTATATATCGGCGTATATGGAGTAGATTATTTTAATAGAAATATCAGAATGCAATTTTTCACGATCGTATATATTCTAATGAAAAATAATACTTTTCAATCCTTTATAACGTCATTGTAATTATAATTGTTACGTCATAACAAAAGTTCTTTCCTTTTCTTTTTTTTTTGTTTATGTTGTTTCTTTACTTTTTTTTTTGGTTTTTTGTTTTTTGTTTTCTTATTTTTTAAATCAATAGAAGTAGCTCGGTATAGCATAATTACACTATGTAATTAATAATTGTATAGTATAGTATACAATTTTAAATATATTTATATATTAAACTAATTTATTTGTAATATACTTTCATTCTCTAGTGTACTTATATATATTATATCATTTAATAAATTTATTCATCATCTTTTATTGTATCTATAAAAACGAAAATCAAAATGATATTATAATAAAATTATATACATATATATATATATATATATATATATATATATATATATATATATTAGATAAAAAGGATTTGTAAAAAATCTGTATAAGTTTCGTAGATAAACAAATATATCTGCATTCTTTATTCACTCATGTAAATAATATAGTAACTGGTGACAAATATTAAAAAAAAAGAAAAAAAAAAAAGAAAAAAGAAAAAAAACAATTGTTTAAATTAAGATACAAAAAGTACATGTAAATTATAATAACTTCTAAGTAGCGTTACGTTAACAATATAATCTATTGTAAAATAATCTGTAGATAATGAAAAACTATCTTACAAGACGTTAGAATAATTAAATGAAATGACTGGATTGAAGATAATACGAGAACACGATAGAGAACCATTTCCTTCGGTACTTTCATAATCCAGGACCAGTGCTTCGTAATTATTTCAAACGGGTTAATTCGAGCAGTGCTTGTGTCGTTAAACACCACCCCACCGTCCATTTTCTCTCCCACCACCTTGCCTTGTACAATCTACCCTTCTTACTCCTTACCAGGGTAGGTAGATTCCTAATTGTTAATTAGAAAGTAACGCAGTGGCCTTTATTAAACGTCTCGGTATACGGGCATGTCCAACCACGTGGCGCAACGAGGCGCAGTTAATTGACTGTATCTTCTGGAAAGTTCACTTTTATATATATATATATATATATATATATATATATATATATATATATATACGTAAATATGTATGTATGTATGCCTCTATTTTGTATATGCATGTATGCGTACATGTTTGTTTGCATGTATGTATGTATGTATGTATGTATGTATGTATGTATGTATGTATGTATGTATGTATGTATGTATGTATGAATGTATGTATGTATGTATGTATGTATGTATGTATGTATGTATGTATGTATGTATGTATGTATGTATGTATGTATGTATGTATGTATGTATGTATGTATGTATGTATGTATGTATGTATGTATGTATGTATGTATGTATTTATGAATATATGTTTGTATAAATGCATGTACGTATGAATGTATGTATATAGATAAGTAAATACATATGAATGTATGTATATAGATAAGTAAATACATATGAATGTATGTATGAATATACGTACGTATGTATGAATGTATGTATGTATTCTATGTATGTATGTATTCTATGTATGTATGTAAATATGTATATGTAAATATGTATGTATCTATATATTATACATATACATTCTTGCATGTGTAAAGAAATCGAATTCTATAGAAAAAAATAAAAAGATTTTCTCTCTCTCTCTCTCTCTCTCTCTCTCTCCCTTTCTCTCTTTTTCTTTGTTTCTTTCTCTCTCTTTTTTTCTCCTTATCCAACGATAACAGCAGGATAATGCAAGAATTGGAAATAACTGTTATATAGCGAAGAGAAAATCATTCGCGTTAATTTTAGCTCGGCTTTGGAGGAAGTAAAGATCAAAAGTAAAGTCAGGAAGGAGTACAGGATTTAC